TGCACATTTTAGAGTGGCCTTTTATTGTGGCCAGCCTAAGGCACACCTGTGCAATAATCATGCTGTCTAATCAGCATCTTGATATGCCACACCTGTGAGGTGGATGGATTATCTCGGCAAAGGAGAAGTGCTCACTAACACAGATTTAGACAGATTTGTGAACAATATTTGAGAGAAATAGGCCTTTTGTGTACATAGAAAAAGTCTTAGATCTTTGAGTTCAGCTCATGAAAAATGGGGGCAAAAACAAAAGTGCTGCGTTTATAATTTTGTTCAGTGTATGTATATATAAATATATATAATAATAATAACAATAGTTATTTTTGACAGTTTGAGCACTTTTTAAATGTGTTGTAGCTTTATAATTGAATGAAAATGGAAGCAAACAAATGGTTTTGGGTCGGAAAGGGGGTTTCAAGTATCAAAAAACTAAAAGTGTCATGTATTTAAAATGACTTTTGTTAATTTAATTTGATGTGGACACCAAAATGGTGACGTCTCGTCTTTGACCCTTTTATATTGTTGTTGTTGCTGCTTTTATAACATTTTCATCACTTTTTATGATGAAATGTAAATTAATTAATTAATAAATTAAATTATAGGCTAAATGTAATATTTGTTTTTTTTAGAAATAATAATATATGAAATATTATTTTTATAAATAATATGAAAATATAAAATAGATTATTATTAAAAAATATTATTATATGCACTTACAGGTGTTGTAGCTTTATGATTAAATGAAAAGAACTAAATGATCTTTTCTGGATTAATTAATTAATCAATCCAAGAAAGCTCAACTGAATATTTTTTGTGTTTTCAAGGTTTTTTTTGATGTTTTACTAGGTTGAATCAGCTGATCTGATGTTGATGTTTGTTCATTAGGTTTCCTCTTGGACTTCATCTCACATCCAGTAATTAAAGGCTTCACCTGTGCTGCGGCCGTCACCATCGGCTTCGGCCAGGTCAAGGTCAGAGTCTCGCAGTCACTTACACCTCCTACCATTTCATTTGCATGTTTCTTAAATGTCCTTGAAGATCTTTGAAGAGTTGTGTCAATCCGCATCATTTGTTGTGCAGAATATTCTGGGTCTGAAGGAGATCCCACAGCAGTTCTTCTTACAGGTTTACTACACCTTCCACAAGATACCTGAGGCCAGGTGAGCACACTGACCAATGAGCTTTCACCATTTTGCTAATTCCTATTGTGTTAAATCCTCTTGTCTAAGCGTGTATCTCAATCATCTGTGTTCTCAGAGTTGGAGATGTGATTCTGGGTCTGTGCTGTCTGTTCTTCCTGGTCATGTTGATGCTGATGAAGAATTCTCTGGGTTCGTCTGAACACGAGGCCCCTCTCCTCGTCCGATCTGCCCGAAGGCTGGTGTGGAGTTTAGCTACTAGTGAGTGCTCAAAAAAGTCTTGTGAATCTATAATGTAACCGACAGATATTTATACATATTTCTTGTGTCGCAGTGCGGAACGCTCTGGTCGTCATAGCAGCGACGGGTGTTGCGTATTCCGCAGAGGTCACCGGTCACCATTTCTTCAGTCTCACCGGAAAAACTGCCGAAGGACTGCCTCCGTTCAAAGCCCCGCCCCTTTCAGAAACAGTAGCCAATGGCACGGTGATTACTTTCAGTGACATTGCAAAGGTGAGCGATAGTAGTGTAGTTTTTGATGGTAAGGACCCCCACCAAAAAAGCAACCTCAAAAAAAATCTAATACTGCATGTTTATATTAAGAAATACATTATTAAATTATTATTTTTAATTATTATTAAATTATTGTCAGTAGAGTCTTAGATCTTTGAGTTCAGCTCATGAAAAATGGGGGCAAAAACAAAAGTGCTGCGTTTATAATTTTGTTCAGTGTATGTATATATAAATATATATAATAATAATAACAATAGTTATTTTTGACAGTTTGAGCACTTTTTAAATGTGTTGTAGCTTTATAATTGAATGAAAATGGAAGCAAACAAATGGTTTTGGGTCGGAAAGGGGGTTTCAAGTATCAAAAAACTAAAAGTGTCATGTATTTAAAATGACTTTTGTTAATTTAATTTGATGTGGACACCAAAATGGTGACGTCTCGTCTTTGACCCTTTTATATTGTTGTTGTTGCTGCTTTTATAACATTTTCATCACTTTTTATGATGAAATGTAAATTAATTAATTAATAAATTAAATTATAGGCTAAATGTAATATTTGTTTTTTTTAGAAATAATAATATATGAAATATTCGAAGGTTGTAGTTGGAAGCTGTTCACCCTTGAGTGCGCAGTGGAAATGCGGCTAATAATTTCTGACTGGCATATAACTAAACAAATCAAACAAACGTAAATGGGTAAAGGCAGGGTCCATGGGCTGCAGCCCAGTCAAGCCCAATGGTAAGTCCAGCCATGGTTATAAATAATATAAAAAATATATTAATAATAAAAATGGTAATAGTAATTATTGTTATTCTATTTTAAGCATGTTTAGTTATAATAATATATTAAGTATTGTTTTTTTTAAAACATGTATAATATTATTATTAGTAGTAGCAGTAATAGTAGCATGACATTTTAGAGCAACTTTTAAATGTGTTGTTTAAAAAAGTTATAAAATAAAAATAAATCGGATAATAATATAATACAATTATCAAGATTATTCTGTTGTTTGTAAGAATGTTTAAAAGATGATATACTGCAGTAATACAATTATATGTAATTTTCTTAAGAATGTAAATTATTAGAGGCATCTGAAACACTTAACATTGTTGTATATGTAAAATATAAAATATTTGAATATTAATTAAATATAAATAATCTTAAAATAATGTATATATATTTATACATATACTTTATACATACACTATTTATATGCAAAAATGAAATGCATTAAATTTATAAAATAATAAACATAAATTGTAAATAGGTTAGAATAATCATTATTATTCTGTTGTTTGGAAAATAATACCCACAAAATAAATTTTTCTTTCACCATTAAATGTGAAGTTAAGTGTAAAGACATCCATATATTTTCTGAATATATAAACACCCATTGATATTGTGTAAGAAAAAACTTATAATTATCCTTATAATGTAATATATTGTTATAAAGATAAAGTTTTTCTATAAACAAAAATGTAAACTATTTTTAATATTTATAAAAATATTTTATATATTCTTTATATTATATTATTATAAAAAATTTATACCATTGTACTAAAGCCAAAAATAATTAAATATATTTTTCTAATTATTATTTTTATAAATAATATGAAAATATAAAATAGATTATTATTAAAAAATATTATTATATGCACTTACAGGTGTTGTAGCTTTATGATTAAATGAAAAGAACTAAATGATCTTTTCTGGATTAATTAATTAATCAATCCAAGAAAGCTCAACTGAATATTTTTTGTGTTTTCAAGGTAAACACCCATTGATATTGTGTAAGAAAAAACTTATAATTATCCTTATAATGTAATATATTGTTATAAAGATAAAGTTTTTCTATAAACAAAAATGTAAACTATTTTTAATATTTATAAAAATATTTTATATATTCTTTATATTATATTATTATAAAAAATTTATACCATTGTACTAAAGCCAAAAATAATTAAATATATTTTTCTAATTACTTTTTTCTATGCACTATTGATGTCAGATCTATAAACCTTCAAAATAGAAAATACATTTGTTTTTATTTCTTAATGTTAAAAACTAGGGCCATTGTTCCATCAACAGAATAATCAAATATTTTATAATAATACATAATATAAAAATAGTCAATATTTAAAAAGCACCCTCTAGCACCCCCTCGTGGCCTCCTCATGATCCTTGGACCTCAGAAAATTGAGCTGTCGCGTAATAGTATAATACTAGTAAAGTATATGTGACAATTTAGAGATTTTAAGTAGCCAATCTAGTGGAATAGTGATCATTACTGACCAATCAGGTGTATTTTCTCAGGACTTAGGCGGCGGTCTGGCTGTCATTCCTTTAATGGGCGTCTTAGAGAGCATCGCTATTGCAAAGGCATTCAGTAAGAGCTTCAGAGTGTCCTTCCTGTATATCTGTATTCTGTATTTACCAACACAGATGCTGTTTGGACACATTTTACACTCTTTTCTCCATGCAGGCAGCAAGAATAACTACCGAATTGATGCCAACCAAGAGCTCTTTGCCATCGGTGAGAGTTTCTCCTCGCTTATGAAGTTTTAACAGAGCGTGAATCGGTTGTTTCTCATTATAATGTTGTTTTTGCAGGTCTCACAAACATCTTGGGCTCGTTCGTGTCGGCGTATCCCGTCACGGGCAGCTTCGGAAGGTCCGTCTGCAAGCTCAACGCCAGGACTAAAGTGTCTGTTGGTTTATTCTTCACTTTCTAAGTGTTTTTATGTGTTGCTTTCTGACAGAACCGCTGTGAACTCTCAAACCGGAGTGTGTTCACCTGCTGGAGGGATCGTCACAGGTGACACACACACACACACACTCTTTGCCATCAGGCTGTCATTTAAAATGTGGAGAGCGTCTGAAAGTCTGTGTTTTTGGGCAGGTGTTATAGTGCTGCTGTCGCTGGCGTTCCTCATGCCGCTCTTCTTCTACATTCCTAAAGCGTCGCTCGCTGCCGTCATCATCTGCGCCGTCAGTCCCATGATAGACTTCAGAGTGCCAGTCCAGCTCTGGAGAGTCAAGAGTGAGACTTTATGCCACATATTCAAACAAAGAAACATTTTTAAATATATACAACATTTATTCTTGTTGAAATCTCGTTGTTTCTCTCAGGACTTGATCTGCTGCCGTTCTTGGTGACGTTTGTGGTCAGTTTCTGGGAGGTGCAGTATGGCATTGTGGGAGGTGTGGTGGTTTCTGGTTTCATGCTGTTGCACATCGTGGCCAGACCCAAAGTGAAAGTGAGTTGCAAGTGCATTTTTTATGAAATAGCTGTATATGATAAAGGCAAACTGTGAGCTGTAAATGAAAGACTTTTATTCTAGAAATCCACTTTCTGTTTGCGTTTTAGAATGTGTGCTAGTAGAAATCACCATAAAATCGACAATTTATTCAAAATGTCTCAAAAAAACAAATAAAGTGTGATTATATTAATAATTAAATGATTAATTTGATAATTGGACTGTTAGTAGATTGAAATAGTCATGACTATTATTTTTTGTAAAAATTAAAAAAAAAGATATTATACAATACATTTCTATTTACTTAAAATATATAATTAAAAATATTAATTATTTGAAACATTTGAAACAATTAACGCTATGTTGTATATAATATATATAAAATCTACAATTATTTAAATATTATAAATAATTAGAAAATACGTACATATTATTGATTATTGATTTTTCTATTGAAAAAAATGCATTTAGTTGTTGAAAGTATACATATTAAATATAAAAATATTAAATATAATTAGTATTTACATATCACTCAAGTAAAATATCTATCTAGCTGATATAAATATGTATTTTTAAATGTATAAATATTAAAAAGAATATTCACTTTTGTATAGAATAAAGTAAATGCATTTCACTTACTGTTTGAAAAATGTAAAACACATTTAACATTATATTGTATCTAGAAAATATTTAAATTCATTATATATATATATATATACTTTTGTATACACATTTTATTAAAAAAAAATACATAACTTATTTAGTTCATAATAGCATAATAAAATATTTAGATACACTAAATACACTTCAGTTGCTGTAAGTAGAATTGAATAATGGTTCTGTTCAAATATTTTTCTGTTTTTTTGGGAAAAAATACATAATTTGTGAAATGCATAAAGAATGTGAAATGAAGTGTGATGTATGAAAATGGCACTCACTGTAAAATGACTCCCATGCAGCAGTCAGTCAGGTTTGTGTGTCTGTGTTCAGGTGTCTGATCACGGCGTGCTGCTTCTGGAGCTGGACAGTGGGCTGAACTTCCCCGTGACGGAGCATCTCAGCAGACTCGTGTACAAACACGATCTTCAGGGTGAGACAGACACAGACACAGACACAGACACACACAACAGACACAGACGCACACACACAGACACACACACACACACAAACAGACAGACACACGCACACGCAGACACAGATGCACACACACACACACACACAAACAGACACACGCAGACACAGACACAGATGCAAACACACACACAGACGCACACACACACACAGACAGACAGACAGACAGACACACTTTCAATCCCGCGGCTGATGTCCTTGAGTGCTCATGGTCTTGTGTCTGTGGTCTTCTGTCAGTGTCTCCTCGGCGCTGTCTGGTTCTGGACTGTGCTCACGTCAGCTCTATAGACTTCACTGTCATCCATGAACTGACTGAACTGCTCAAACAGTTCGAGCTGAGGGGAGTATCCATGATCTTCGCTGGACTAAAGGTAGAGTTTAACATCAACAGACATGTGTAGGCATGCCAAAGACATTCACAATTACAGCTGCCAAAGTTAAAATGTTATTTATGAAATTAAGATAATTAAGAAATAAATTCTTACAAATAAAACATTTAATTTAGATATTAGAATATGAATATATTAGTTAATATATTATTTAAATTATATATGTATATAATTGGTAATGTTTCTTTTTTTACTCTGTAAAAATGGAATAATCATGATTATTTTAACCCATTTTTACAGCTTTTAAAAATATATAAATATTGTATTTATGAAAAAGAATGTATTATTTGAGGCATTTGAAACACATTTAGCATATATTATATATAAAAAATTTATTTTTATGCATGCAACATGTTTTATTTATATATATATATATATATATATATAAAATATATTTATATACTAAACAATTATAAATATGAATTAAATATAAACAAATCTAAATATTACAATGTCACATATACAAAAAATAAATACATTAAAAAGATATAATAATCTAAATATATTTTAAGTAGATTAAAATAATCATAATTAATAATTACTCTATTGCTTGAATCAAATACATGTAAAATAATTAAGTAGAAAATTACAAATATAAAAAATACTAAATTGTATATTTTAAAATAGAAATATTATATTTTATAATTAAGATTATGTATTATTTGAGGCATTAAAAACATTTAACATTATACTGTGTATAGAAAAAATATAACTATTATTGTTATAAGTACGTTTATGCCTTTGAATATATACAGTTAAAATACAAATTACTAAACATTTATAAATATTATGTAAATATACATAAATCTAAATATTAAAATAAATAGATTAGAAGATTCAACTTATTCTTATATGAATACATATGAATATTCTGTTGTTTGAAAAAATACAACATAAAAAAATGAAAAATGTAATGTAAATATAATATATATTATATTTAATGAGAATTATACATATGAATATAACATATTTCAGTCATTTGAAATACAATTAACATTATACTGTGTGTATAAAAAGATAAATGTAATTTTTTCTTTGTATAGTTATTTATAATCTCTCTTCCTCTCTCTCTCTGTGTGTGTGTGTGTGTGTGTGTGTGTGTGTGTGTGTGTGTGTGTGGGCGTGGGTGTGTATGTTGGAACTTTAAACTTAACAATATAACACATGTCTGTGTGTGTGTGTGTGTGTGTTGGAACTTTAAACTTAACAATATAACATGTCTGTGTGTGTGTGTGGGTGTGGGTGTGTGTCTGTATAGTATATTTGTTTTGGAACTTTAAACTTAACACTAACATTTCTGTGTGTGTGTGTGTGGGTGTGGGAGTGTATGTTGGAACTTTAAACTTAACACTAACATTTCTGTGTGTGTGTGTGTGGGCGTGGGTGTGTATGTGTATTGAAGGTGTTGTTGTCGGCTGAACTTCCTGGTTTCAGACATACAGACAGAGTAGACAAGGCATTGCAACTTCTGACCAGTATCAATCACTACCAACAACAATTCTAACAGCCAATCACAAGCAAGAACAGATTGTGTGGCTTTGAGCCAATCAGCATCTGAATACTTCAAACCCTCTGATGATTGGTCACCTGAAATATTCTGCGTACACCTTTGACCAATCAGCACTCAGGGAGAGAGACTTTGATAAAAACTGATGGGGAACAAAGTTACATAATGTTTGTGTACATGATGACCAAATTATGCTTTTGCACTTAAAACTATATTTATGTAGTTTGTTTTGTATTTTGTTTTAAACTCTGAATCTCAGGTATGAGATGATGTCATTTTATGAACATGCACTTTTTCTCAACACTAGAAAGAGTCAAATCTTTAGTATTTTGGGTTAAAAAGCGCTACAAATCTGATGGGTCTCACAAAGCCTAAAATATATTACATTAATCAAGATAATTTCTCTGTAGTTTACAGTAGTACTTTTATATGTTTAGTGTGTTTACATTTATTTTTTGATGATGAAACTGAACTCTTTTGGACTGTCAAAGATGAAACAGACTCTAACACGAAATGTCTCTTTTGATATTAAACTGATATGATCTACAATGGCTACGCTTGAAATATTTTCTTGGAATATTTTCTTATAAATATCCAAATTATTATACATAATATATTCAAATATCTTTTGATATAAAAATCTATATTCACACCTTATAGCCTATGCACACACATATAAATACATATATATTTTTTACACATTATTTATTATTATTTATACACATTATTATCTGCAATCTAGCCTATAGGTTGCGTTTACACTTGGCATTAACATGCGATCACTGTGATCGGATCAAACAGATCGGATCATCAGACAATCAGGACACGGCGCGTTTACACTTGGCAACATCAGCTGACTTCTCGATCTGGATAACACATCGGATCTGTATTTCCCGCGCAATATTTAAAGAAGTCTGCGGTGCAAAGTCGACCAAAGTCGAAAACTATTTTCAGTCGCAGGAGATTTTACAAATCAAAATAAATGTACGAGTCTCACTAACGCTCTGTTCTTCCGACTGATCGGGAGAGAGGGGGCGGGGTTTTGCATGATGTCGACCTGCGAATGCAGACACGATGGCTGGATTGCGTTTACATTACACTGAGATCCGATCACAATGCGTCCTCGACTCAGTCTTGCCAACTAATTTTCAGGGGAAGTTGCTAAAGGAATGTTGATTTGTTGCTAAAAGTTGCTAAATGATGTTGCGATGTCATTGCGCGGTGGCGTCATTGCGTAATCACGATGCAAAATTGTGTCTGCATCAAATCTCAGCAAAAAAATAAATTTTTTATGTTAATTTAGATGTGTTTATAAAATAATATAAATACATAATATAATATTAAAATATAAATAACTAATTTTAAATACAAAATTGAATTATTTAACACGTTCACATTTTTGAACGATTACAAGTTTATTTTTATTAGCTAGTAAACTAGTAAAACTACTCATTCTGAACAATTATAGTTTCAAGCAGTGTGTCAGTAGTTAGTATGCTACACTCTAAGAAAAGTCTGTAAAAATAGGGCAAAATCTACTAATATGAAGGAATTTTCCGTAATTATTATTCACATGTTTTTTACATTTTAAATTACGCATTGTATTTTGTGTTTTCGGGTTACATGGTTACAATGGATAATGGAAAATGGATAATGGATAATGTCCTGGAAAATTACTAGTACCTTTTTCATTGTTCTAGATATTTTCCTTACCGTGCACTAACTGATCAGCAATCAAGTACAAGCTACTAACAAGGTGTATCATAAATTAACAATTATTATTATTATTAAATTAAACAATTTCAAATAGCAGCTAACTTCATTCATGTGATGTGTGTACTGCTAGGCACCTTTGGTTTCCTCTTTTTGTGTAATTTAGATGGAAAATGTGTGCCTTTTTTATCGTTTGAGTCACTTATCAAAAGTTGCTAAATGTTGGCAAATAAATTTTAAAAATAGCTAAATTTGTTGCTAGGTGCTTTTGGAAGAAAACGTTGCTAGGGTAGTCTGAAAAGTTGCTCAATTTAGCAACAAAATTGCTAAGTTGGCAACACTGCCTCGACTACCTCTGGACCAGGACACGCTGATCGGATAACATTCCGATCAGAAGCGCGTTTACACTTGCCTTTTCAATGTGTATGTGGACAACATCCGGATTCAGGTCGCATGTTAATGCCAAGTGTAAACACAGCCTTATCATATTCAGTGGCGTCAAACACCCTCCGCAGCTGCGATTTTACGCCCTTGAGTGGGTTTGTTCACTATATAGGTTAAGTTGGGTGTTAATACTGGGGTCACGTCACATGGTGTGTGTCTTCACACGCGGGCTCGAGCACGAGGTGACAGCAGCTGTGTTGTGGCTGTAATTGCTGAGAGTTAAATCTCACTCCGGCTTCTTGAAAGGCTGTAAATATGGAGTGCCAAATGTAGCACGACTGCGTGCTAAAACTGGAGCCGAGCTGTGAACTTATTTGACACTAGGCTGAAGGATCACATGAGGTTTCTACTGAGAAAGAGAGGATGGGAAGTTGACTTGGAAATAATAGTCTTGTTTAGCCTATCTTTATTTTAATTAATTTTAAACTTTTCGAATCTAAAACTTTTCGAGCACTGTTGATTTAGATTTTATATGCACTGGTAAAATAAATATCTAGGGCCCCAAACACACTAGAATGTTATATAATTTTTGTAATTTAAATGTTTACAGACTATCATATATATATATATATATATATATATACAAACCTAATACAACTTCTGTATTTCAAATTCATTTTATGCAAAGTCAAACAAGGAAAAAAAAGTAAATAAATATGAATTATATTCTCAATACACACTTATTTTATTTTATTTTATTTTATTTTATTGACACCAAGGGTTTTACATTATGAGAGTTTTATTAGTTTTCAATAAGCTTATACAATTAATGTAGACTATTTAAAAGTCATTTGTATGCCAAGTCAAGCAAGGACAGACAGAATAAAAAAAATTTAATTAAATTAAATATTAAATTATATTAAATGCTAATTATATACAGTCAAAAATATTAGGCCTATTTGTAATTTTATTTACATCAATGGTTAAATGTTATTGGCAAAATGTATATTTTACATACTTACAAAAAAAAAGGTTATTTTCTGTAAAAACAATAAAGGGCAGATTCAATGACATTAAAATAATTGTTTTCCTTTTTTCATCACATTTTCATTTCACCTACCTCACCTTTAGCGCAACTGTCATCACTGTCATGTGACGACCAGCAGAGGGCGTCGCGTCTCGAGGGCGGGAATTGAACGTCCCCCTCTCTTTCTCTGATTGGCCAGCAAGGAGCCTGACGGAGCGGGGCGGGTCCTTCGCGGGGAATCTCGCCCTCTGATTGGGCAGGCGGATCTAGAGTGACTGGAGCGCAGCAGCGGAGAATCACAGCAGCACAAACCCACTGCGCTCATGGCATCAAGGAGAATGGAGACCAAACCAGTCATTACCTGCCTCAAAACGCTGCTCGTCGTCTATTCCTTCGTGTTCTGGGTGAGTGACCCTCATTCATTAGCGTTTTTGAGCATTTAATGTTTCTGCGGCATGTTGTGAAGCCTTTAAAGTGATTTGTTACCATAATAAGGCGTTTGTTGCAATATTGCGCCACTGGAAAACAAGTGCATCTCCATCATGGCAGGGCTGGACCCCTCTGAGGCCACTGGAAACACGAATATGATTGTCACTGATTCTGATCAAGAATATGATAGACAATGTGCATTTCAAGTTAAATGATGAAAATATTAAAAACGCTGTCTTTTAGTTTTTTGATAATGTTGATGTTCATGATGATGTTGGACATGATTCATAATGCATTTATATTAATGTTCGAATAAGGTCATTTGCAGAGCATTATTCCTGATTAATTGAATATTAATGTCCAGAAATGGACATATGCACAGCATTCTAAATTGTTAATTGAATATTAATGTTCAAATATGAGCATATCCTGGACATTAATAATTATAATTTAAATATTAATGCCCAAATATGGACATAAGCTGAATATGATGAATCATAAATTGAATATTAATGACCAAACATGGACATTTGCTGAATATTATTGACCAAATCTGAACCACAGACATTTAAATTATAAATAAAATATTCATGTCCAAAAATGGACAGCTTCTAGACATTTAACATGTTTATTAGGGTTGCAGTGACCTTCATCTCTGTCATATGAAGCAAACCTCTGCATCCTCATTTTTTAGTAATGAACATGATGGCTGTTGAAGTCATTTGGATAGTAAGGGTTAACTGTGACATGGCACCGCCCCGGTAACGCTCGGTGTGTAATGACTGATCCAACTATCATTCGTTTGATTTTTTGATCTGATGAACAGACTAAGGCTGGGAATAGATACTTTGATTTGACTTTGATATAGGCAATATCTGCATATGTAGGCTACGTATTTGTATGTACGTTGAATCTTTTCAACATCATGTAGGCTAATGTTTGTTAATGACTAAGACAATATATTGTAAAGTGTTTTTGCAATAGTTTTGTGGGCGAAGTAAGGCAGTAGCCTGAAGAAATTATTTGTTAAGAATTAGATAAATGTTCAATTTTATCATAAATTATTCAAATAAGATGGGAAAATGGGCCAAATAATTGAGCACATGTTCTATTTGATGTGATTAGTAAGTGATGAATTACTGTACAATCAACACGATTCATTAAAATCTTCTGCATACCAATTTGTCCTCAGATGTCAATTTAAATCTCATGTGATTTTAACTAAGAATACAACCAAATATTTAAGAAATGTGAAAGTTTAGGAATTGAAAAACCCATTGCAATCTGAATATTTGATGATTGTCTGAGGGAATTTTGCATTGACGGGTTATATTGCTTTTATTTTTCTTGATTGAGTCCTTTGTGAGATTTTCAGGTTCATAGATTGCATTATTTTTTGGGCTTCAAATGACTCTTTAAATGTCAACTTGCATATAGTCAGACAATAATGATGCATGATGGGAAATTCCAGAAATGAACATTGAAACAGGGGTCAAAATTGTTATATTGCACTCTGTGTTGTATCTGATTGTACCTGTTTTGAGCTGAAGCCGTGTTTCTTCACAGGAGTCTGGGCTTCAGATCTCATGTAGATCTCATCTCTAAACGCTCTGGGTTTGTGTCAGTAGGTAACCGTCTCCATCACATTTCCTTCTGTGCTCACTGGAGCTTCATTAATGCAGTGTGGCACATTCGCCACCAACCAGTGGCTGTTTAGCTCTCTGCCCATCTGTAATCCCGCTCGGTACAGTGATTCGGTGCCTGACCCAAATTTAGGCCGTCTGGACCGTAACGCAGTGTATTTCTACTGTAGACCTCAGAGTAGACGCCATATTTGTTTGACAAAAACAATACGTCGAGTTCTGCCTCTCATAGCCTCATTTTCATTCAGGTTAAATATGATTTAAAATGTATAAATCCATTTAATCAAGAATCAAACTCATAGGAGTGAATTTGCGAAACAATTTTGCAGTTATGCAAGTAGTATTTCAGCATTTTATGTTGAATACATTGTGTCATTTACGTTGTATGTTAAGTTCTGCCTCTCATAGTCTCGTTTCCATTAAAATGAAATCCAAACTGTCTATTATGACTAAAGTTTGTACAGTCTGAACCTTTTAATCTAGAATCAAACTCGTAGGAAAACAATTTAGCACTTTCGCAAGTAGTACATAAGCGTGAAGCATTATAAACAGACATACACTGAATTGTGAGTCGTTCGTAACTATTTACGAACGACTCACAATTCAGTTGATTTCTGAGTTCTGACATTTCTGATGCACTGAAATAGTGTACTTTTATTGCTTAATCATCATTTTTCATCACAAATACGCCTCCTCGTTTTTTATATAATTGCGCAAAAACGCAGTAATTTTTTTGGTACATTTATGTACATTTCCTCATTATGGCATCAAATGTCTGAAGTATGATCTAAAACGTCTAGTATGACTAACATTTTAACTGTTTAATCAAGAATCAAGCTCACAGGAGCGAATTCGCTACAAAATTCAGCACTTTCGCAAGTATTTCTGCGCAAACCCTTGTCTCTTATTCACAAACGACTTACAAATCAGTTTACGTCTGCATTAAATGCAGTAAAATAACATACTTTTAAGTAATTGTATTATTTTTTTTTTCAGCACGAAAATGCCTCATTTTCACGCTACGTAATTGCACGATTTGGCTGAGGCATTCATTTTTTTGTTTAAAAGAGATATTTAGGCTATATATATTTCCTAGTAATTATGGCAGCAGTAATTTGTCAAATGATGGAGAAGAGCGTTATCTCTAATATATATTTGGAAAAGATGCGATTATTTAACTGCACTTTGGCTTTTTAAAGAGACGAATCAGGTGCAACCAAACATGGGAGCAAAGTCTTTAAACAATTTCGTCAAATGTGTTATCCAGAATATATATGAAACATATCCAGAAGCATGTGCATTTAAGTACACTTTGAGTATTAAAACAGACGAATCAGTATCGTTTGGTTAGATGTTTTGGCTCACTTGTGTTTGTTGTAGTTTTTTGTATTTGTTGTACTTGTTTCCAAAGCAACTTGTAGCTAATTTAATGGGTACATTTCATAAGCATTTACGTTCATTCTTTCAAATAACTTTCAAATGGAATAATTATGCAGTTTAAAAGAACATTTGAGAACATTTCAGGTGAGCAGTTTCTGCGTTATTATCTACGTTATTAGCATCACTAAACTGAATTGGGCACTTGCAGAACAGCTGAACACAAATGTTACAAATGAGCTTTGAAATTCACGTTGTGTTGAAAAAGGGGGCGAGCGAGGGCGTAATTGAAGCGAGATGTGAAGTTAGAGGAAATTAGATGGAGAGCATGTGAGTGACAAATGAAAATGGAGTAGGTGTCATTTCTCCGTTCACCCGTCAGCTGTTCTGGACCGGGTTGGGTTCATTCTGTTCGTCTGAACACAGACAGACGGAGGGCTGTGTGTCCTGCTGTTGACCCTCACAAACACATTCACACTCTCTGTTCTCCCAGAGGCAGATGGGAATAGACCAACAGGCCTGAGAAAAAACAAGCCGAATATAGCGCAAAAAATCGCGCGAATATGAACGTGGTTTTGAGCAGCTCGTCAGTGAACAACGGCTCTGTGTAGTTAATGCTGCTCAATGTGAAAGCCCGCAGGTGATGGAGATTTACCGCTGATTACAGAACCGGCTTTACTGATAAGATGCGCGTTAAATATCGCATGCGATTTATCGTGCAGCCCTAGCCGAATATGAAGCAGACGACATCGGCGCCTGTTGCTTTGAACGAAATAACTAGTGCATTTCATACCCGGAACCAAATATTTAAGAAATGTGAAAGTTTAGGAATTGAAAAACCCATTGCAATCTGAATATTTGATGATTGTCTGAGGGAATTTTGCATTGACGGGTTATATTGCTTTTATTTTTCTTGATTGAGTCCTTTGTGAGATTTTCAGGTTCATAGATTGCATTATTTTTTGGGCTTCAAATGACTCTTTAAATGTCAACTTGCATATAGTCAGACAATAATGATGCATGATGGGAAATTCCAGAAATGAACATTGAAACAGGGGTCAAAATTGTTATATTGCACTCTGTGTTGTATCTGATTGTACCTGTTTTGAGCTGAAGCCGTGTTTCTTCACAGGAGTCTGGGCTTCAGATCTCATGTAGATCTCATCTCTAAACGCTCTGGGTTTGTGTCAGTAGGTAACCGTCTCCATCACATTTCCTTCTGTGCTCACTGGAGCTTCATTAATGCAGTGTGGCACATTCGCCACCAACCAGTGGCTGTTTAGCTCTCTGCCCATCTGTAATCCCGCTCGGTACAGTGATTCGGTGCCTGACCCAAATTTAGGCCGTCTGGACCGTAACGCAGTGTATTTCTACTGTAGACCTCAGAGTAGACGCCATATTTGTTTGACAAAAACAATACGTCGAGTTCTGCCTCTCATAGCCTCATTTTCATTCAGGTTAAATATGATTTAAAATGTATAAATCCATTTAATCAAGAATCAAACTCATAGGAGTGAATTTGCGAAACAATTTTGCAGTTATGCAAGTAGTATTTCAGCATTTTATGTTGAATACATTGTGTCATTTACGTTGTATGTTAAGTTCTGCCTCTCATAGTCTCGTTTCCATTAAAATGAAATCCAAACTGTCTATTATGACTAAAGTTTGTACAGTCTGAACCTTTTAATCTAGAATCAAACTCGTAGGAAAACAATTTAGCACTTTCGCAAGTAGTACATAAGCGTGAAGCATTATAAACAGACATACACTGAATTGTGAGTCGTTCGTAACTATTTACGAACGACTCACAATTCAGTTGATTTCTGAGTTCTGACATTTCTGATGCACTGAAATAGTGTACTTTTATTGCTTAATCATCATTTTTCATCACAAATACGCCTCCTCGTTTTTTATATAATTGCGCAAAAACGCAGTAATTTTTTTGGTACATTTAT